ATCCCCAGTACCAAAAAAAAAGTAAAAATTCTGCGTGTCCGTGTATGTGCTGAAACTGGTCAGTCAGTGACCCGGAAACTGCTGACAAGTACACCCCCCAGCTGTAGAAATGGGGCTCTGGCTCCTCCCAGACTCCCTCCAAGTTCCATCCCGGTGTGGCTGGGGTCCCCACCAGCCTCTTGGGCTGGTGCATTTGGAGGGTTTTCCCGCTGAGGTCCGGGCTGGGGACCTGTCACTTTTGGGTTCCTGTGCAGTTTCACTTCCCCTCCCCTCAGGGAACCACGCAGCCCCCAGGTTTAATATTTTTAAAGGGGCTGACATAAAGGAGGAATTTAAAAAATCTGATGTGGCTGAGTTCCAGTAAAACCTTCGGGACATCTGTGTCTGAGTGTTGAGAAATTTTCACCCGTCATGACATATTCTTTGGGTTTTTTTCAAGCTTATAAACCTCAAGACCATTCTTAGCTCAGGCTGGCTGTGGGCGGACTTTGAGACTGGTTGCCATGAACCCAGGGCAGAACCATAGTTGTCCCCTCCTGCCTGCAGGTTTGCAGAACCCTGCCAGGCACACTGCCTCATTTGATCCCTAAGACCCACATGGTAGTGACTTTGACCCCGTTCCTGTCTCCCCTCTACAGGACATGGTGGAGAGATGACACCACACACAGGAAGTTCCTCCCCAGCTGCCCCAACCCCTGGTCCTCTTCTCAACAGGAAGCTGGTGGGTTTTCCCAGGGCACCATGAAGACTGGACAGCAGGGCTACTGGAGGCCCTCGGGCGCTGAGGAAATCCTCAGGACCTTGGTAGCAGCTTTTGTTTCCAGGACTTTCTCCTCTAGCCTGAGGGCTCTTTGCCCTTCCTGGCTTGCTCCCTTCTTCCAGCCTCAGGTTCCCAAGTGCACACCCAGCTGCTGTTTGAGGCAGGGTCTCACTATGTAGATGACCAGCCTGGAACTCACAATGCTGGGACAGCTGGTGCCAATCCCAACTTTTTTTTTTTGCTAATTCATTACATTTTCATTAGCGCTTTTGTTCTGTTGATTTCTGCAATTCCTCTTGCCAGAAAAGCAGCTGTCAGCTTCTTCACACAGTGACTCAGGCCTGCATTAACTTTTACTTTTCCTGAGAACAAACTGCTGGGTAAGTTGTAGGTGCTATTCCCAGGCACCCTACAAATCCAGCACAGCCCCACCCCATGCCCAGTGGAAAGACACTCACTCCACCTCCAAAAGACATTGCTCTTCTCAGGACTGCCTTCAGGCCCCGTGTCACACCTCCAGACACAAAACTCCCTGTTCTGGAGCAGTCAGGAACCTGGGGAGCTGGCACCACCAGACTTCCCCATTCAGTCAGCAGTAAACGAAACCTGCTTATCTCTGAATGGGTGTCTGGCCTCGCACCTCACCATGACACCAGGTGAGCGAGCCCGGTGTGCATGACCCTTTTCATCGGCAGGCAGGCACTCCTGGGGCACACTGCTCACAACAAAGGGCTTTGTGTACTTTGATCCTAAAACTTAGATGAGGATCACAGCTAAAGGCCAAGCATCACTGAACTGTCCACAGGTCAGAACAGTTCCCTTAAGCCAGTGGTGGTGAACCTGTTTTTCTTTAACACAAAAATGTTAACATATAAGTAGTTTTTTCTAAACTAAAACCACAGTATTCAGGTTTAACTGCAGCATTGGAATTTGCGAGCACTGCCTTACACAGTGGCTCCTGCTGTGGTGTGCCCCACCCACGTGTGCCCCTGGTGACCAGCCACGTCCAAGCGCCCACTGATGAGCACAGAGATAGAACAGAGACTCCAGAGGTTCCTTCACCTTTCCATTCAGCCTTTGGGAGCAACAGAGAAAGAGACAAATCACACATTCAAAGCCATATTTATTAAACGCCCTTTCACCTAGGAAATGCCAGAAAGGCTGGAGACACAGCCAGGCTCCCTATTCCGGAAGCAGAGACTGTGGGCTGGAAACACACCAGCCTGGAACTGCCGATTCCTTCTGCACGCAAGTGAGCTTCAACCTGCTCAGTTATGGCGTGAGTCCTGCTCCCTCACCTGGTGACTGTGGCTTCTATATCCACACTGTCATCTGCAGATGAGAAATTATGAATACCATGGGGGGTGCTATAATTAGGGACACAGCAGACACAGCTGGGGGCTGTCACAAATCCCCATCAATCCCTATCGCCAGGCACAAAACTGAGCACAAGTTCCTAACTCCCAACCCATCCCAGGGGGTAGGGGGCAGAGGGCTGAGGCCCTAAGTGGCAGCAGCCACACCCCTTCCAGGCAGGCCCCACCATCCACCCCCAGGAGCCAGGGTATGGTGTAGGCAGGAGACAACCGTCCAAAGCGGTCCTGTGAGCCAGCAGAATTAACCTCTCTAGGATGTGATCACCTGACTTACAACTCAGGTGGCCAGAGCAATGGTTGTTGAGCTTTTTCTTAGCCAACACCTCATGGAAAGTTTCCCCGTCACAGGAATGACTTGCTGCATGGATCTTTCCTGCATGTACCCCACATGGGTCCACAGGACATCGAGACAGCCACACATGGGTCAGTTCAGGTTTCTTCTAGCCCCGGAATCATGGCATTGCTGCCAGAAAACACCAAGGAACATCAGCCAACACTGAGCCACGTATGGGCAGGAACAGAAGGCTCTGGACACCCCTCCTGGCAGGCAACACGCTAACCTGACCATTTCATGGATGCGGGTGGAAACTTAAGTCCCACGTTAGAAATAAAGCACAGGAGATCCACAGCAAAAGCAGCAGCCAGAACACCAGCATCCAGCACCCTGAAGCCCCAGGGCAATCACGGAGTACACTGGCTGCTCCCTCTCTGGAGGACAGGACCACTCCAAATATCTCAAGAGGTTCATGTGGGGCTGGGGGAGATGTACTGGCCTGTAACCCCAGCTGCTTAGGAGGCTGAGGCAGGAGGAGCACATGTTCAAGCCCAGCTCAGCCAACTTAGTGAAAATAAATGAAATAATAAAATAAAAAGATCTAGGTTGCAGACCCGGGTCCACTGCCTGGTACCCTCCATACACCAAAGGTAATGGGGGAAGTGGCAGCCAATGCCCTGCTCACCTGCTGGTAGAAACATGAGACTTGGAGGCCTCCCCAGCACCAGTCCCAGTGCCTGTTCCTGAAATTTAAGCGACAGAAAGTTAGCTGGGAGCTCCACCGGTAGAGACAACGGATCTGTGCTGTCTCCTTCCAAGCCAGCCCACCCCTTACTGCCCACAACAGCCCTGCACCAAGGGAGGAACACAAGGGCGTTTCCTTCCAACCGGAAGTTCCCTCCCCTCCCAGCTTCCTCTACCGTCTGGCTTCCTGGGAAAAGCACCGGCCACGGGCGGAGGCTTTTATATTTGCTTTCCTTTTAACTTTACCATGCGTGGCAAGCGGCTGCCACACTGAGACAGACCAGATCCGGAGGGAGCATATGATTGTCTGAAATTTCTATAACCTTGCTCTGGATAGAGCAGGGCAAGGCCTCAAACCGTTTCAAAACTGTTCTAGCAAGCACTGTAGGAATGCACAGGGTCACGGCAGGCCCCAGCACGCTGGAGGCTTGCTACTCACATCCACCCAAGTCCCGAAGCCCCCTCTGGGGCTCCCGAACCCTACAGCACAGCAGGGAGAAGAGGAGAGTTGAATTAGCAGCGCTGAGCTACATTCCCAGCCTTTTTTCTT